ACCCCACAAAACCATAATAAAAAATACTGATTAATGAAAAAAAAAAAAAAGAAAAGAAAATGTAATTGTGGCCCTGATCTGACTTTACCACCCTAAATCATGTAATGGCTTATGCTCTGCTACTGGGCCTTACTATTAGCTCCTAAACAGTTTTTTTTGAGTTGGAGTCTCACTCTCGCCCAGACTAGAGTGCAGCAGCTGCTCCCGGCCACATCAGCCTCGACCTGCTGGGCTCTGGCGATCGTTCCGCTTCAGCCTTCCAAGTAGCTGGAACTACAGGCAAATGCTACCACACCCAGCTAATTTTTTGATTTATTGTAGAGATGAGGTCTCACCAAGTTGCCCAAGTGGGTCTCGAACCCATGGGCTCAGGCAATTCACTCATCTCAGCCTCCCAAGGCGCGGGATTATAGGCTGAGCCACCGAGCCCGGGTCCTAAACAGTTTTTAGTATACCACTTAGCACAGCAAAAATATGCAATTATGTTTGTGACAAGAAGCTGTTTAATCCAGTTGCTTCCACCTAATCCCAACTTCTCATTTGTTCATTAGGCACCAATAACAAGCATCTACTGCCTACCACATGTTAGATATGGCAAGCATCTACTGTCTACCACTTTAGATATGGCAAGTGTCTGCTGTCTACCATAGGTTAGATACTGCAAGCATCTGCTGTCTACCACAGGTTAGATATTGTGCTAAACTTATTCCCTTATCTTCATCTAAGAACAACTTTATTCAGTCTCAGGAAAGCATTTTACCAAATCTAAGTACCTGAACAAGAGGTTGAAAATTTTTATCTTAGAATAAACGCATGACTTCCGGTATTGTGTGCTCTCCAGATAAATCTAGGCCCCTCAGCGCCCATGGTTGAATTTGTCCCTTTATAGTTATACAAGAATAGGTCTGCTAATGCCTAGAAAACACACACACACACACACACACACACACACACACACACACACACACTCTTAATCCAGTAATTCTGAATTTTAGGAGTTGTTAAAAGTAAATATCCTCCTTGGGTCACTAAAATTTTCCTGGTACTAAGTGGTAAATACAAAGAAAAGGCTAATGTGTGATTAAGGGCTGTCCCCTGTGGCCATTACGGAATGCTATAGACCAAATATTTTTGCCTAGGTACCCCCCACCCCCTGCCCAATTCATATGCTAAGGCCCTGACCCTGAATGTGGTAGTATTTGGAGATGGGACCTTTGGAGGCAATTAAGTCATGAGGGTGACACCTGCATGATGGGATTAATGACTTAATAAGAAGAGACATGAGACACATGGGGTCACAGTAAGTGTGCCATCCACAAGACAGGAGGAAGGTCCTCACAAGAACTCAGCCATGCTGGCATCCCATCTTGGGTTTCTAGGCTCCAGAACTGAGAGAAGATACACCTCTGTGGTTTAAGCCATGCAGCCTATGATATTTTGTAATGGGAGAATGAGCTAGGATAGGGCCTTTAAAGAAGAAATTAAGTTAAAATGGGGTCATGAGGATGGGCTCTAATCCAACATGACTGGTGTCCTTATAAAACGTAAGAATACAGAAAGAGACACATGCACACGCAGAGAGATAACCATGTGAAGACACAGTGAGAGATCAGCCATCTGCAAGCCAAACAGAGAGGTCCAGAAGAAATCAGAGTTGCAGTAATTTTTTTTTGAGCTGGAGTCTCACTCTGTCGCCCAGGCTGCAGTATAGTGGCACGCTCACGGCCACTGCAGCCTCAACCTGCTGGGCTCAGGCGAATCTTCTATCTCAGTATCCCAAATAGCTAGAATGATAGGCGCATGCTACCACACCTGGCCTAACAACCAGTAATTTTTTTTTTTTTTTTTTGAGTTGGAGTCTCACTCTGTCGCCCAGACTGGAGTGCAATGGCCGCTCCCGGCCACCACAGCCTCGACCTGCTGGGCTTCGGTGATCCTTCCGCCTCAGCCTTCCGAGTAGCCGGAATTACAGGGATGCGCTACCATGCCCGGCTGATTTTTTGATTTATTGTAGAGATGAGGTCTCGCCAAATTGCCCAGGCGGGTCTCGAACCCACGGGGCTCAGGCAATCCACTCACCTCAGCCTCCCAAAGGCGCAGGATTATAGGCTGAGCCACCGAGCCCAGCTACAACCAGTAATTTTTAAGTTCCCCCTATGTATTGGGCCTCCAACTAGATGTTGGAAGACTATACAGACAAGATCTCAAGTTAGTAATGCAAAACTCAAGTGGTTCACCCCCTCTATGGGAACATGTTCCTGGAAACACCAATCACTATGAGCTTGAGAAATCATAGTCACTGCTTCTTTCCCCAAAGCCCATACAATTCAAGAGCTATAAAGTCACTGTCTCCTACATACACACCTTCCAATAAAAGAAATGGGCTTACCCAGTCCTTCCAGTTCCTGAACGACTTCTTTCCACACAGGCTCAATGTGGATGCAGCTGAAACACCAGTCGGAGGTGACCTTAATGAGGTAGGGTTTCTTAAAGCTGTCTGGAACGACTTCATTCACATAATGAGAAAAATGCAATAAATACTTCTCATCAATTGAGTCCCGTCGCTCAGAATTAAAAGGGAAATTGAAAAAAGATTCATCGAAGTAAAAGTTTTCATGGAAGTGGTGGAAGTGATACTCTCGTTGCTGTTGCTGCTTCTGGTAGCCCTGGTTCTCTCCAGCATCCCCAAATTGATCATAATGTAATCTCCTTTCTTCATTGGAGAGAATCTGTAAAGAAACAAAGAAAAATAGAAAACCTCAACAACAACCCAGGCCAGGCGTGGCGGCTCACGCCTGTAATCCTAGCACTTTGGGAGGCTGAGGTGAGAGGATTGCCTGAGTCCATGGGTTCAAGACCATCCTGGCAAGACCTCGTCTCTACAGTAGGTCAAAAAATTAGCTGGGCATAGTGGTATATGCTTGTAGTTCCAGCTACTTGGAAGGCTGAAGTGGAGGGATCGCCTGAGCCCAGGAGGTGGAGGCTGTGGTGGCCATGAGTGACAGAGTGAGACTCCAACTCAAAAAATAAAATAAAATAAAATAAAAAATAAGGAGTTCATCCAAAGGACTTTTCTGTAAGCAGCTTGGAGCACATAGGAAGAAAATAAATGTGAAGATTTTGACATGTTATGGTAGGCCAAGGCAGGAGGATTGCTTGAGGCCAAGAGTTTGAGACCAGCCTGGGCAGGCTCCTTGTAGTACAGACTTCCCTAGCTATGTAAGTGTTCTAGGAACCCATCAGCATCAGTGTTCCAGCGAGTGTTGTTGTGAGAGGCTGTATCTTGTTCCAGTGAATTTTTCTGGAGATTCTTTCGACACATTTGCCCATTTCATGATGGGTGATTTACAAGTGCACCTGCCCACACCACAACGAATGTTCAGCAGTTTTTGAGCAAAAAAACTGGCATGATCCCTGTACCCCACCCTCCATATTCACCCAGTCTTGCCCCAAGAGACTTGGGTAATATAGTGATACCCCATATCTAAAAAAAAAATAAACAGCTGGGCATGGTGGCACATGTCTGTAATCCTAGCTATTCAGGAGGCTAAGGCAGGAGGACCATTTGAACCCAGGAGTTTGAGGCTGCGGTGAGCTATGATCTCCAGCCTGGGTGACAGAATGAGACCTTGTTTCTTAAAAAAAAGAAAAAAGAAAAAAAAGATTATCTCTCACCTAATAGTGATTAACAACAATTACGACCTGACTAGACATTCTTTTTTTTTTTTTTTGAGTTGGAGTCTCACTCTGTCGTCCAGATTGGAGTGCAGTGGCACACTCCTGGCCATCGCAGCCTCGACCTGCTGGGCTCCGGTGATCCTTCCGCCTCAGCGTTCCAAGTAGCTGGAACTACAGGCATGCGCTACCATGCCCAGCTAATTTTTGATTTATTGTAGAGACGAGGTCTTGCCAAGTTGACCAGGCAGGTCTTGAACCTGCGGGCTCAGGCAATCCACTCGCCTTGGCCTCCCAAAGTGCTGGGATTACAGGCTGAGCCACCGAGTCCAGCCTGACTAGATATTCTAAACATAGTCATTCAATATAACAAGAAACTTTTCTCTCAACAGAAACATTAAATAACATTGAAGACCAAAATATTTCAGTGGTTTAGATACTCATACTCATCTTGGCATTAAAGATTTCAACCTATCACAACACTAAACACTGTAACTGATTTTTTCTACCACTTATTTTAAGAAATATAAATGGTAAAATGAATAAAACTTAACATATGTTGATAACCAGGACTCAATCACAAGAAAATTGACTTGGTCAGACCTAATGAACTGGGATAATTCAGAACAAGATATGAAGAGCTGGGAACACCAAAATCATAGCCACAGATTTGAGTCTAGTGCCTGGTATGTCAGTTGACTTTGTTTTACTTATAAATTATTTTGAAGCTGGGTTCAGTGGCTCAGCCTGTAATCCCAGCACTTTGGGAGGCCAAAGCGAGTGGATTGGCTGAGCCTGAGGGTTTGAGGCCAGCCTGGCAACTTGGTGGGACCTCGTCTCTACAATAAATTAAGAAATTAGCTGGGTATGGTAGTGCGTGCCTGTAGGCAGAAGGATCGGATCGCCGGAGCCCAGCAGGTCGATGCTGGGGTGGCCATGAGCATGCCACTGCACTCCATCCTGGGTGACAGACTCAAATTACTTTGAGCTGGGCTCGGTGGCTCAGCCTGTAATCCCATGCTTTGGGAGGCAGAGGTGAGTGGATTGCCTGAGCCCGCGGGTTCGAGACCCGCCTGGGCAACTTGGTGAGACCTCATCTCTACAATAAATCAAAAAATTAGCCAGGCGTGGTAGTGTGTGCCTGTGGTTGGAAGACTGAGGCGGAAGGATCGCCAGAGCCCAGCAGGTCAAGGCTGTGGTGGCCAGGAGCGGCCACTGCACTCGTCTAGGCAACTGAGACTCCAACTAAAAAAAAAAAAATAAGTAAAAAATAAATAAATAAATAAATAAAATTATTTTGAAGTCTAAAATTCGAGGATGTTGTAGAATGATGTGTTGTATGAGCTAAGCACTGTCTGATGAGGGGCATTCCCTGCACAGATCAGGGAGCCATGGGCTTATCTTTTATGCATACTTGACAAACCTACTTAAACTGACATGTTGGAAAATTATTTAAAATTTTGTGTTTAAATGTATTTGTAACCTTATGCCACTTAAATAAATCTAGGTGAATTGATGTGTGATTCTTTAATGTAAATTTCTTTTCTTTTCTTTTTTTTTTTTTTGAGTTGGAGTCTCACTCTGTCACCCAGACTGGAGTGCAGTGGCCGTTCCCGGCTACCGCAGCCTCGACTTGCTGGGCTCCAGCGAGCCTTCCGCCTCAGCCCTCCAAGTAGCTGGAACTACAGGTGAGCGCTACCACGCCTGGCTAATTTTTTGATTTATTGTAGAGATGAGGTCTCGCCAAGTTGCCCAGGCAGGTCTTTAACCCACGGACTCAGGCAATTCACTCACCTCAGCCTCCCAAAACGTGGGATTACAGGCTGAGTCACAGAGCCTGGCCTTAATGTAAATTTCTAAAAAAAAAAAAAGCAATAGAAACATATTCAGGTAATTCTACAATTCTAACTAAATTAGCATTTAAAATATGTCAGTTTTTTCAAGAGCTGTGTGACACTTGTTTTAACTTATTGGATATGGCCAAATATGTTCTTTCTACTATAATCTAGAAACTGGGTCCAGGGCATGGAGGACATACTCTTTCTGAGAAAGTTTTATAATATAAACTGGTCACCTAAGGCATATCTGGTAAGAGCTCATGGATGCATGGTGAAGTCTGACACGATACCTCGTATGCCTTGCTGATCTGAATGAACTTGTCTTCTGCTCCGGGATCTCTGTTTTTGTCAGGATGCCTGAAACACAAATGGGCAGGCAGTGAGAATGGGTTTCATTTTTTTTTACGCAGTCTTTTAACATCCTTGTCCACACAGTTCACTCCATCAGAGTCAAACGGAGGGCCACTTTGTTAGCATAGTTTCTTAAAATACATAGTAGAAGAAAGCAGTTGCTTTACATGACTATAATAAATGAAACTTGGAAACAGGCGATTTCTTTCAGAGCACTCCAGGTGGGTGCATTTTCAAAGCACTAGATAGTACTGCAGCATTTCACCCAGGGAAGGTGGGATACGTGGATGTCTTTCCATTGCTCCCAAATATTGCTAAAGCTGGCTCCAGGCTACATCATTTACCCACAAGAACCCACGTCCTTTTCTAGGATAGCAGCATTTCATCCCAATATGAGAATGATCTAGGCGTTTCTTCTAACAACACAGGTTGACATACAAACACCTTCTAGGATACCCTGTGAATTTGTATAATAATAACCAGGCTTCAAATAGTATCTTGCAGCTGCCTTTCAAATAATAACATTTTAGTTTTCATTATTCTTCTGGTTAGCTGCTTCTGCCTGTGATTGCCTTTTACCGATAAACGGATATGGATTTCAAGGCTACACGTTTAAGATGTGAGAAAACTCTATAGTTCATGCAGAGTCATTCCAACTAATCTTCAACATTTGCTACTATAGATAGCTGGTAATTAACTATACCTACCTTGCTGTTACATATTATTTTGTAATTTTCTTATGTTTATATCAATTTCAGCTTTGAGGATTTTAAAATTCTGGAAAGTTTGGTCTAGGCTTGCTTGGAACCTCTTAAGATCCAAAATCACTGTTTTATACAGATTGATCTTTCAATGTTCACTTTATCAAGAGCCTCTGTATGACAGAATTTATTCATTTTTATTTTATTTTTTTTGAGTTGGAGTCTCACTCAGTTGCCCAAGCTGGAGTGCAGTGGCACGCTCCCAGTCACCCCAGGGTTGACCTGCTGGGCTCCAGCAAACCTTCCGCTTCAGCCTTCTAAACAGCTGGAACTACAGGTGCATGCTACCAAGCCCGGCTAAGTTTTTGATTTATTGTAGAGACAAGGTCTCACCATGTTGCCCAGGCTGGTCTCGAACCCCTGGGTTCAGGCAATCCTCTTGCCTCGGCCTCCCAAAGTCCTGGAATTACAGGCTTGAGACACTGCACCCAGCTGAATTTATTCTTTATGTAATCACTTCTGCTAACTTCTAGTAAATTTCCTCTGACAAAGGTTCTGGAAAGAAAAACAATCCACTAGGAAGCAAATGACTACTAAAAACACACCAAGTACACTGGAATAAAAAAAATCTACAACTTGGACTTATTTTAGTAGGAACATGTTTGAATGAATTATACCACACATTCTGATTTCTCCAAAATGAAGGAAACTTCAAATGGCTGACTGTTGAATTTAAACATCATTCTTTCCTTAACCATTGAATCCTTGCTATAAAAATCAGTGGGGGGCTGGGTGTGGTGGCTCAGCCTGTAACCTCAGCACTTTGGAAGGCCGAGGCGAGAGGACTGCCTGAGTCCAGGGGTTCGAGACCAGCCTGGGCAACTTGATGAGACCTCATCTCTACAATAAGTCACAATAATTAGCCAGGCATGGTGGCGTACGTCTGTAGTTCTAGCTACTTGGAAGGCTGAGGAGGAAGGATCGCCGGAGCCCAGCAGGCTGAGGCTGCGGTAGTCATGAGCGTGCCACTCACTGCCCTCCAGTTTAGCGACAGAGGCTCCAACTAAATAATAATAATAAAATAAATAAAAATTAGTGGAGGGAAAAAAACCTCAGCTGGGTATCATGAAAACAGTATTACTGAAGGAAATGAGATGGACATTCTAAAGCATGCTTCTGGATGACATAAAAGAAATGCATTTTCAATATTTAAACATAGGCTACAGGCTGAGTGGATAAAAATTATGCAGTCATACAAATGAAGATTTAACATATAGAACTCTGAAGGTGAAGAGGGAGAAGAAGGGGCTGTTAAGGAGACTGAACCAAGGAGAGTACCTTGAGGGCAGCTGGGTTAGAAAACACAGATCCTGACAGACATGACCAAGGCTGAAGAACAGGGAGGAAACCACAAGACAGTTACAGCTCATAAGAATCTTCCCCAGTTGTGGCAAGATACCACAAGGTGGAAAACATCTAAAAAAGGATAGATTTGGCCCTAGGAAAGTATTGTCCAATGCTATTTTCAGTAACTATGAAACCGTTTCGTGAACAACAATGAAATATACAACCTTAAATTTCAAGTGAAGAAAATATTGTACTTATCTACTGGCGGTCTAGTTACCTTTAAAGGAATAAAAACAAAGACAGAAAAAGTAATACAGCAAAGAACTAGACAAATTAATTTACTGTTCAGTTGACTGAACCACATTATACCAATCTGAGTTTCTTGAGGTGGGAAGAGTTGTTTATTAAACTGATATGGGCACAAACAAAAAGTCCCAATGATAAAGCTTAAATATTGGGAGAGAAACAGTTTTCCTGAGGAGAAAAAGTAATTGTAACTTGTTCCACCAAGCAAGAAAAAATTCTCAAGAAGTCTAAGAAACATTCAGTAAAAAATAGAGGAAGGTGCCGGGCTGGTGGCTCCGCCTATAATCCCCAGCACTTTGGGAGGTCGAGGTGAGTGGATTGCCTGAGCCCGCAGGTTCGAGACCCGCCTGGGCAACTTGATGAGACCTCATCTCTACAACAAATCAAAAAATTAGCCGGGCGTGGTAGCGCGCGCCTGTAGTTCCAGCTACTTGGAAGGCTGAGGTGGAAGGATCGCCGGAGCCCAGCAGGTCGAGGCTGCGGTGGCCGGAAGCGGCCACTGCACTCAAGTCTGGGCGACAGAGTGAGACTCCAACTCAAAACAAAACAACAACAACAAAAAAATAGAGGATGGCAACAGACCCAACTCAATAATCGACTACTTCCCCTGCTGTAGCTCATTCCAGAAAAGTAAAACCAGGAAATGCTTCTCTTTTCAGTGTATATGAAACTGTTATGAAGTGAAACTTATACCATTCCAAGTGATAATGCATAGAAACAGCAGAAAATAACAGTATATTAAAATTATAAAGGTAAACTGGGCTCGGTGGCTCAGCCTGTAATCCCGCACTTTGGGAGGCTGAGGTGAGTGGACTGCCTGAGCCCACGGGTTTGAGACCTGCCTGGGCAACTTGGCGAGACCTCATCTTTACAATAAATCAAAAAATTAGCTGGGCGTGGTAGCGTGCACCTGTAGTTCCAGCTACTTGGAAGGCTGAGGCAGGATCGCTGGAGCCCAGCAGATCGAGGTTGCGGTGGCCAGGAGCGTGCCTCTGCACTCCAGTCTGGGCGACAGAGTGAGACTCCAACTCAAAAAAAAAAAAAAAAAAAAAATTATAAAGATAAAGTAACATTTTAGACTTTTACTGGGTGACATACTCGTTATGTTTCTATGATGATGAATTATTCCTAGAGAGAATCTAATTAAGAAAGAGAAGAAAACGACTCATTTAATTAATATCATAACACCCTTCTCAGCCCTGGAAGACAGTAGTCAAAGCTGTACCTGTTAACAGGTCCCACCTACCCAAGCTGTCGTCTGTGTTCCTAAAATACTGTCAAAGACCATATCCTGTCCAAAAAAATGCTGTTCCATTATGAATGAACTGCTTTCACATAGAGGCAAGAGTCTGAAATGATGCATGCGGTACCTTGGGGCAGAGTCCTGGGAAACAGGTCATATGTAATTAGAGATGCTGTTTCTTAGCATCCAATTCCAGATTCTTCATGATATGAACATGGTCTAAAATATTTACTGAAAACATATTTTAAACTACCTTTACCTTTATTTCAACCAGTTCAATGTAAGATACACCTGCTCATGGAAGTACAATAGTGGCAGGCACAGTCATGCACTTAGCCTGCAACGTCACTTGCATGTGGCAGCTTTGCTCCTGTGTAACTTACTGTCTCACTCAGTTCCTTCCCACCAATACCGGAACCCACTCATCCTTACTTACGTCCAGGATGGCAAATGACTCAACAATAATACAGCAAAAACTGCTGACACAGAAGGTCAAACTATGGAGCTCAGAGGTCATATAGACTTATCAACTCTGAGCTTCAATTTTTTCATCTATAAAACAGAGACACTGCTATCCTCCTTCCTAGGCTAATTATAAGGTTTAAATGAGAGAAAAAGCATAAAATTCAGAGGCTGGTGTGAAGTAGGTGCTCAGTGAGGATGGCAGTTTCAATCTCTCTTCTATTGCTTATGGCTGGTCCAGTGAGGGCGAGCCGCCTATGCCCTTTTCTTCTTTCCTCCTTCTATCTCCCCCTCCCTCCCCAGCTCTATAACCCAGCACTTCTGCTTCTTTGGCAAGGCCAAAGCATTGGTGGAAGAAACCGATGACATGTAACTGCGGTTAAAATTACAATTTTTCTGTAAGACTTTTTTACAGAAAAGTAATGCATAGTCAGCCCACTATATTTGTGGGTTCTACACTTGTGGATTCAACTAACCACAGATAGAAAAATATATATTTTTAAAACGGTATCTGTACTGCACATGCACTGACTTTTTTGTCATTATTCCTTGAATAATAACAGGATAACAACCAGTTACATTGTATTAGGTATTGTAAGTAATCTGGAGATGATTTAAAGTATATGAGGATGCGTGTGGGTTATATGCAAACACTATGCCATTTTATAACAGGGACTGAGCATCCATGGATTTTGTTATTCTTGGGGGTCCTGAAATCGATCCCCCATGGATATGTTTTATATACATATATATATATATATTTTTTTGAGTCGGAGTCTCACTCTGTCGCCCAGACTGGAGTGCAGTGGCCACTCCCGGCCACCGCAGTCTCGACCTGCTGGGCTCCAGCGATCCTTCCACCTCAGCCTTCCAAGTAGCTGGAACTACAGGCGCGCGCTACCACGCCTGGCTAATTTTTGGTTTATTGTAGAGATGAGGTCTCACCAAGTTGCCCAGGTGGGTCACGAACCCGCGGGCTCAGGCAATCCACTCACCTCAGCCTCCCAAAGGCGCGGTATTACAGGCTGAGCCACCGAGCCTGGCTATATATTTTTTGAGTTGGAGTCTTACTCTCTCGCCCAGGCTAGAGTGCAGTGGCACGCTCATAGCCACCAAAGCCTCGACCTGCTGGGCTCAGGCAATCCTTCCACCTCAGCCTTCCAAGTAGTTGGAACTACAGGCACATGCCATCATGCCCGGCTAATTTTTTGATTTATTGTAGAGATGGGGTCTCACCAAGTTGCTCAGGCTGGTCTCGAACTGTAAGCTCAGGCAATCCTCTCACCTCAGTCTCCCAAAGTGCTAGGATTATAGGTGTGAGCTGCTGCGCCTGGCCTGATTATGTATATTATTAAGTTAACAACATCTTCTTACTTTGACATTAAATATGCTAACAGGGCTGGGCATGGTGGCCCAGCCTGTAATCCCAGCACTTTGGGAGGCTGAGCTGAGAGGATTGCCTGAGCCGGCAGGTTCAAGACCAGCCTGGGCAACTTGGTGGAGACCTCAGATCTACAATAAATCACACACACAAAAATCTAGCCGGATGTGGTAGCGTGCATCTGTAGTTCCAGCTACTTGGAAGGCTGAGGCAGAAGGATTGCCTAAGTCCAGTAGGTGGAGGTTGCGGTGGCCGGGAGCGTGGCACTGCATTCCAGCCTGGGCAACAAGAATGAGACTCCAACTCAAAAAAAAAAAAAAAAAAAATATGTATATATATATACATATATATACATACGTATACGTATATGCTAACAGTACCTAAGGCAATGCTTTAAGCCAAGCATTCCCAAAAGGGAGTTTCAGAGTAAATATAGGCTTTAGATCTTACCACTAAAAATTACAGACCACGAACATTAGTTTTCCTACATGAAATGCTTCAGACACACACAGATACACACACACACACACATATCCATATATGATTGTGTGTGTGTATATACAGAACATAGAAATAGAGACAAATAGAAGCTAATCATAATTTAGACTTCATTCCCCTGCTAAGACTGCTTAGCTTATATTAAACTTCTATTTCTTTGTTTCACCTACCATTCCCGGGCGAGCTTCTTATAAGCCTTTTTAATATCAGCCTGACTGGCTGTTCGGCTGACCCCTAGGACTCTGTATGGGTCAAAATCCAACGCAGACAGAATTTGCAGGATCAGAACCAGAACTATCAAGAATTGCCAGGAAATGCTCAACTTTTTCACCTCCATTTCTCTTCCTTTCCAGAGCTGAAATGATTGAAGAGGCAATAAGTTTCAGTGACAGAAGCCTAGACAGTTTTGCTTTTTAGGTAAAGGTATAAGATGAAAAATAAAACAAAAGATATTTTGTAGGAAAAGTCAAGCTGTTTGTCTATATATTTTAAAATTAAAAAATCTCATTTCTACTTTTGAATATCACAAATAAGAACTACTATAGATGCGAAGATGAGCAACAGGAATTAATAGCAATTCTCCAGAATCCTTTAATTAGAAAAGCTTTAGAAATGACTGAAATGATTGAGAGAAAAACAATAACTGAATATTGTAAAACATAAACAAGATAAACCAGGGTGGCTACATCTCAAATACACAATTTCACTTATTCTGACAGTAATAGTTTAAAGAAAATAAATGGCTTAAGAATACTTCACTGAGTACATGTCAAATAAACTCATGAAACCATAAGATTTACCATGTATTAAATTACAAAATGAGATAGTTATGGTGTTCTTGAGCATTAAATAAGGACAAATATGGAAATGAAATACTAAAAAAAAACTGTGCAGTTAAGATGTAGTATGCCTTAATTCTATTCTTTCTCAGCACATCCATTTGAACAAGAAAATGAGAAGCTGTTCTTCAACCATCAGCAATATAGTCATTATAAATGAAAACCTCAGATGAGAAAAAGTGGGGAGAAAAAATTTCGTTTTCCACGTAAAGGAGAATTAATGCCAAAGATCGAATAACAGGCATGATCGTAAAAAGTTTTAAGCTCCGGTGCTGGTGAATATAGTGACTGAATTTATTGTAGGGTTTGAAAATAATCCTGGCAGGGTTAACAAGGTTGTGCTGGTCTTTTTGTAGACATTTACACTCCAGAATTATGATCTTTGTTATGCCACACCGTGTTTTTTCAAGAGTCACATTTACTTTGATTTCTCGTAAAGTAATACAATTTTAATGTTCAACTGTCTAATGTGACACCTTACTCAGAAGAGCAAATTTCTAACAGTGGTGGATTTCGACAAGTATAGTTTAATGCCACCTGGGAGTCCTCATAAAATTAACAATGTTTAGAACTGCATGCAGGCGGAATAACATGCTAAAAGTAAGCAATTTCTTCCTTGTTAAGGTAGCCTTTCGTGCCTTACAAAAACCGTGAAGGTGATGTGGCCACTGGTTAAGCACATGGGTTTTGGAATCAGACTAAGGTAAGGGTCCGTCTTCCACCACTTTAGGACCTTGGGCAAGTTATTTAAACTTGCTAAGCCTCAGTGTCCTTATTCACAACGTGAAAATGAGTAGTACTACCTTGAAGGATCGCCTTGGTATTAAACGTATGTAAAGGACTTACTGAGCACAGAGTCAACAGTCAATAAGTGGCAGTACGACGGCTGCCTTATGCAACTGTGGCCATCCCTCCCAGTTAGAGGTCCCAATTGGCGGGAGTGGAGGGGGGGCGCCCGTGAAGTTCTTTTGCTGACTCTCCAGTTCGACGGTGCCGGCCTCACAGCAGGAAACGACCTGCCCAACAGGTAGGCTGCCGCCCTCGGGGCAGCATCTTCTGGACCGGGCAGAGGCTCCCAGAGACAAGCTCTAGATCTAATCCCTGCCTCAAGCTCCTGCCGCAGGTCACAACCCTCCAAGGGGACGGCCCCCTCCCCTGCCGCCCCCCGAGAGCCCCGACCGGGCCCTGTAGGCTCCCGGTTCCCCTTGGGCCCAGCAGGGACTGGGAACGAGAAGGAACTACCGGGAGATCCGAGCCTGCCCGGCCCCGCCGCGTCCGCGGCTCCGCGCGTCACGCCGGGAAGGAGTTACCGGGAAAGGGTACTGGCCCAACCGGCAGCAGCGTCCGTGCTCCAGCTAGTCCGCGGGGCCGGGAGCTGCCGGTCCACACCAGCGCTCGCCGGGGCCTAGGGAGGGGAAAGAGGCGGGGACCAGCCCGAAGGGAGTCACGTGATACTTAAAGGTCCGGCGCGTCGAAGGCGCGGCCTGAACGGGTCGAGGGCGTCTACTTGGTGAATCTGTTTTGACCCTTGCCACTCGCCGTCGGTGCGTGGCCCTGCCGCGGTTGCTATGGGAACGAGGCAACAAGAATGAGACTGGAGCCTAAGGGGTGATCGTGACCAAAGAGGCCAAAACGTGCCTCCTAGCGAGTCGAAGTTGCTATGCATGACGGGATACCACAAAGACCTCCCCGCTCCACCGAGGGTTTTCACTCCTACCAGGAGGTGGCCCCTGTCTGGCAACAGTTGCTAGGATGGGGAAGCAGTCTCTGGTCCCTGTGCTCTTTAACCCTATTCATAGAATCCTAGAGCGTCAGATCAGAAGGGTCCTTAGGGATCCTCCAAATCTTCCATGTGTTGACGGGGAGACTGAGGCCCGGAGAGGGACTTGCCCGAGGCCCAGAATCCAGGACTCTTAATATCGCCAATCGAAAAGCGAGCTCCACTTTGCCTTAAGCTCCGGGAAAACCCGGTGGGGGTACGAGAGGAAAAAGGCACAGGTGAATGAAGTAAACTTTCTTTGAGCTAATGAGATAGGTCCCTTGGGGATGTAAAGAGCTTTCCTGCTCCCCTGGCTCTGTTTTTATCTTTTCTCCTTTAGCTGTTACCACTATCTAACTTACTGTATCTTTTGTTTATACTCTTTATCGAATGATCCTCCCACTGGAATGTAAGAGCAGGAATTTTGTCTTTTTTGGTCTTTTTACGTCTATGTTTTTGGTGACTACAGACTCAATGCGTATTTGTGGAGGCCGGGTGTGGTAGCTCAGGCCTGTAATCCCAGCACTTTAAGGAGGCTGAGATGGGAGGATTGCTTGAGCCCAGGAGTTGGAGACCGGCCTGGGCAACATAGCGAGACCTCGTCTCTACAACAACAACAACAAAAATAGCTAGGCATGGTGGTGCACGCTTATAGTCCCAGCTAATTGGAGGCTGTGGCAGAAAGATCACCTGAGCCCAAGAGGTGAGGCTGAGGTGTGCTGTGAACATGCTACTGCACTCCAGCCTGGGGGTGACAAAGTGAGACTTTGACTAAAAATAAATAAATATTCATGTGATTCTATTCTAGGTGAACTCTTAGTTAAGGGTGTGAGCTGTAGAGTCAGGTTCAGGTTTGAATCCTGCCTGCCTCTGCCACTTACTACTCATGTGTCCTTGAACCTCAAGGTCTACATCTGTAAAATCGGTGGAGGGGGTGGGAAGAATTTCCTGGCAGGACTGTCATCAGGAATAAATGAGATAAGCATGAAAAGTGGCTAGCACAGTGACTGGGACATAGCAAATGCACAGTCAACAGAAACAATTACTTTTGAAATGTGGAAATGAGGCAGGGTAGCTAGCACAGGTCAGACATAGATAAATTTCCCACAGTAGGTTTTAGGAAGCGTTCATTTTTAGTTTTTATTTATTTTTTATTTTTTTAATTTTTGAGTTGGAGTTTCACCCTGTCGCCCAGACTGGAGTGCAGTGGCATGCTCCTGGCCCCTGCAGCCTCGACCTGCAGGGCTCCTGCGATCCTTCCGCCTCAGCCGTGCAAGTAGCTGGAACTACAGGTATGCGCTACCATGCCTGGCTAATTTTTGATTTATTGTAGAGATGAGGTCTTGCCAAGTTGCCCATGTAGGAAGAAGCGTTCATTTAAAAAATTACATTTTACTGCAGGCCAAGCTGGGAGCCTACCCTATCCCCTTGGCAAATCCAAAGAAAATCTCATCAGATGTTAAGTAAGATTAGGACAGCCCAGCCTTTCAGCTCATAATCACTAACAATCCTTCAGGACACTACCCACTCCCCAACTTGTTTAGTAAACAAGTTAACCTAATCAGGCCTTCAGGACACAAACCCCATCATCCTGGCAGCAGTCATGTAACTAACTCACCCATCTGCCTGACGTTCATCACCTGACATTAATACTTGGACTTAGCCAGGCTCGGTGGCTCAGCCTGTAATCCCGTGCCTTGGGAGGCTGAGGTGTGAGTGGATTGCCTGAGCCCATGGGTTCGAGACCCGCCTGGGCAACTTGGTGAGCCCTCATCTCTACAATAAATAAAAAAATTAGCTGGGCATGGTAGCGCGTGCCTGTAATTCCAGCTACTTGGAAGGCTGAGGTGGAAGGATCACCAGAGCCCCAGCAGGTTGAGGCTGCGGTGGCCGGGAGCGGCCACTGCACTCCAGTCTGGGCGACAGAGTGAGACTCCAACTCAAAAAAAAAAAAAATACTTGGGCTTACCTGCCCCTTCTTGATGAGTAAAAAGACCGTCAGTCAATCACGTTAATGACCTGGCCCCATCAGAAGGAAGATTTAAAAGGCATTCTACTTCAAACAACAGCTGCTGTTGCTTTGTTAAACTCTGGTGTGTCCATGTGGCTCTTTGCATTATGGCCATGTTTCTTGGTTTTGGCCCGCTCCCTTACCTTGGGCAGGTGAATCTTCTCTCCCTCTTTAATTTACTTTCTAAATAAACTTTGCTTGAAAACTTTGCTAGCTGTTCTCAAATTCATTTTAGAAACAAGCCGGAAGGCCAGGCACGGTGTCCCATGCCTATAATCCCAGCACTTTGTGAGGCCAAGGCAAGAGGATTGCCTGAACCGGAGGTTCAAGACCAGCCCGGGCAACTTGGTGAGCTAATTTACCATAAATTGAAAATTAGCTGGGTGTGGTTTTACATGTCTGCAGTTCCAGCTACTTGGAATGAAGGATCGCCTGAACCCAGCAGGTCGAGGCTGCAGTGGCGGTGAG